AAGCTAGGACTTGGGCTAGGGGTGCCCCGGAGGGTTTGTCCCCTTCATAGACCCGGATGGGGCGGGGAACAAAGGCAAAAGGTCAAGGGGGCCTGTGAGGGAAGGGGGCAGGCCTCGGGTTGGGGGGGGGGAAGAAGGAGGCCTTCCAGGATAAGCATGAGCCAGAGGGCTGAGGACGAGTGAGCCAGGCTCAAAGAGAAAAAAACAAACAGCCGCAACTGGATAGACTCACATAGGTTCCTCTTAGAGGCTACGCAGTATTCCCACCACCCAACATTAATTAACCACCTAATTACAGCCTGAGCTAGGATGGGCTCCAAGACGCAACATGGCCACAGGGGAAACAGCACCCAGCAGTTGAGTCAGAAGCTAATGGGATCACAGATTTAGGCAGGAGAGGTCATCTAGTTCAACCCTCTCATTTTCTCGATGAAGACCAGGCTTGGAATCCCAGCCCTGCTACTTCCCATCTCCATGACCTTGACCTTGGGGAAGTGGATTAGCCTCTTTGGGCATCAGTCCCCTTTTCCAGAAAACGAAGGGGGACAGCCCCAAATGACCTCTCAGGCCTTTTCCAGTTCTAAATCACATGAACACAGCTCCCACTCTGGTCCCAGCCCCTTTTCTGGCCCTTAGTTTCTCTAACTTTAAAATGGGGATAATAGGCCCTGTTCCTCCTGCTTTGTAGGCTACCAGAAATCAGTCACGCTGCCCAGATTAGGGGGAGGGGGCCTGACAGAGATCATCATCACCATGACATCTGACATTAATATGCAAACAGCAGGACAGAAATGTGAAACCTGAGTTCCCAGAGATTCCTGGGGCTTGGGGGAACCAGGCTAGAGGGAAAAAAGAGCTGGTCCTGGGCCTTACCTAAGCTGGTGCTGGCAGCTGGTCGACCATTTGTCGAGGATGTTGTGGAGGGAATTCCTCCTCAAGAATGGGTTGTCCTAGTTAATGCCAAAGATGCCTACTAACTTCTGTGAGTTTGGAGTTCCTTAACCTTTGTCTCCTCTTGTCTCCCATCCCAAAGCCCAGAACACAGAGAAAGTTAGAAGTGGACGAGACCTTAGAATATAGACCAGAGAATGTCAGAAATAGAAGGGCATTAAAGGACCCTATAATCTGGTTTTTTATTTCAGACAGGAAAGGGACTTGCTCAAGGTCACACAGTGAGTCAGCAGCTAAGCCGAAGCGGGAGCCTAATCACCTGCCTCACAGGCCTGGGTTTCCTCTGTTGCACCCTTACGGATCCGGATCCGGTGGTCTGGCTTTCAGAGCCTCTCTGTGAAGGGTACCTGAGGCCCCATCCCAGCCCCTTCATTCTTCTTTACCCCCAAACACAGATCCCCGATTCCAGGAAGGCAGACCTCCTGCCCAGCCTCACTCAGGCCATTCCCCTTTGGGGTGGCTTTTCTCCTCCACAGCTGGATCCCTTTCCTGCATCTTCAAATATCATCGAGTGACTGATTACCCACAGCAGGGCACAGGGAAATGAGCGTAAGTATATGTATCCCACAACATCCAGGCCCTCAGCTTTGTTTCCCAGCACAGAGAGGTGAACAGTGGTTCAGGACCGAGAAGCAGTCCATTATATTAAAGAATCATGTATCTACAGCTGGATCATCTAGTCTGACCTTCATTCTACAGTTAAGGAAACTGAGGCCCTCAGGGGGAAAGGGCTTACAACTAGCAAGGACATTCAGGATCTGAACCCAGATCTCCAAGGTGTGGAAAATCTCTGATTTTGGAGTCCAAACGCCCAGGGTTTGAATACTAGCTCTGCCGAGGACACTGTGTGACCCTAAGCAAGTCAATTCCCCTCTGGGCCTCAGTTTCCTCATCTGTAAAATGAGGAGGTTGAACTAGATGGCCTCAAAGGTGCTTTCACCTCTAGATCCATGATCTCTGACATCAGACCCAATGCTATTTCTACCTCAGCAAGCTCCTCTTCAGGTAGAAGCCATGTAGAGCGGGGGGCTCCCGTCCCTTCTACTTGGCCTCCTTTCCTCCTCTACCCTGGATGCTTGTCTCTTCTACCCCCAAAGTGTGTATCATTCAAAACAGCTGAGAAGCCTTGAGCTCCCCAAATGATTCACACCTGCTGACACTGACGTAATTTCCAGTTTTATCTCAGCTTCCCTGAGGTTGTCACCTCTGCCTTCTGTCTCCTGTGCTTTTCCTCACCTCTCATTGTCCCTGACCTGGATTCTTGGTATGGAAGCTGGAAGACTCTGTCCAGCCTTCAATCCCTCACTCAAAAGTCACCTCCTCTGGGAAGCCTTCCCCTACTGTTTCACCCCCACCCCAGCCCAGCTCGCCTTCATACTGAGTCCTCTTCTTGAGCTAAAACAGCAGAACATATTTTCCCTCAACCAGACACAGTTTTGTCTTGTTTTCTCACTATTCAGTACGTGGGGCTGACCTCCTTAGCCAAATTAAGAACTCCTCATGGATTGGGCCTAGGTCTATCTCCTCTTTCTTCCCCAGCCTGGGAACTCACCAAGACCAGGACCTCAGTCTGGGCCTCTGTCTCTCCCAGACTGGGAGGAGGCCTGGATCTATTCCTCCTCTGTTTCCCCTACTTCTTAGGCAAATACAGGTCTGAGCAAATGGAGGAGGGATGGAGGGGTTCCAGTATCAATGATTAATTCATCTGATCATATTCAATGAACATTTACTAAATATCTGCTATGTGCAAAGCATTGATTTCTCAACTTTTAGTCTTCAAAGTTACTTCCACCCTAACTGAATGTAAGAAAGCAATGGGCACCTCTGGGGAAAGAGGATAGAAGTGTTCATAGTAATTCCAAATCTGGGAGTTGGGGGGAGACACCACTGATTCATTCACCAAACAGTTATTTACCACCTACTATATACAGAACACAATGATGGCTACTAGAGATAGAAAGTTTGCACGAGATTTATTACTGATGAATTTCACTACCCAGCAAGGGAATAAAACACCACCAAAACATATATATCTACCATTACATACTAAGCCCATTAGAGGGCTGCAAACCAAAGCGCTACGTGAAGTTTGGGTGTGAGGGAGGTCTCTTAGGGGTACAGTGTGGGGATCAAGGAAGACTTTCTCCATGGAAGTGCAGATATCTGGAGTTTTGGCTCTGTTAGACTGTCAGGGCAGCCCCTCTTCTCTGTGCCTGTAACAGGGCTGGAAATTCTTTTTATTTTATTTTATTTTTTGCTTTTAGGCAATTGGGGCTAAGTGACTTGCCCAGGGTCACACAGCTAGTAAGTGTCAAGCGTTTGGTCTGAGGCCGCATTTGAACTCAGGTCCTCCTGACTTCAGGGCCAGTGCTCTATCCACTGCGCCACCTAGCTGCCCCTGGAAATTCTTAAAGGACAGAGACAAGTGCCGGATCTTTGGGGCAAACTCAGAACTTGGTTTCTGAATGCCTGGGTCCTGGAGTAGATTCCGGCAATGTTTGGGAGGCTTGGGGGAACGGCCAGGGAGTCAGATCTGGGAAAACCCCTGAAGTCTTTTCCTAGGCCCAGAACCGGGAGGGTGGTATTGGGGGTTCAGAGGCCTGGGTCGCGAGTCAGCCAGAGGGCATACATGTTGCAGAAGCAGCTCTGCGCCTTTAGGACCAAATAAGGCTAGGCTAGGTTTTGGGATACTTGACCCTTGCCCTGCTTGGATCCTGTTTCAAATCTTCACTTAAAAAACCCCAACAACAACTACTACTACTACTACTACTACCACCACAACAAACCTCTCCCCCCTTACCCCGAGTCTGCTCCTTGGCTTATGCTCCTTTGGCACGCTCCCTGCCCTTAATGGGGGCCTCCTTCCCTTGTCTCAGAGCTAAGATCAGGCCAAGAGCTTGCGGGGTACAGGGGCCAAGAGGGTAGTGACTCAGAGGAGGCCCTGCTCCCCTGGATCCCAGGTGTAAACAAAAGCACGCAGTACTCTCCACCAATACAAGGGGAGGTGGGTCGGACTCATGCAAATCTATCGCCCCGCCTACAAACCCCCTCCCCCCTCCCCCTCCCCCACATGCTCCCAGACAGTCGGTTACATTGATAAAGTGGGAGACTCGGCGTTTGAGGAATGCGCGCTGCGCGCATGCAGGACCGCGTGCGCTCAGTACCCAGGCCACCAGACCCTCTGCAAATAGCCTAGCGTGAAGCACACTGTGTGCCCAAAAAGCCCCGGGGGTCAGACGCTGTATAAATATATCCCTCCGCCTTTCGCCCTCACCGGTTGGGCAGGCCTCTGGGCGCAGGCCCTAGCCCGATGGAGCACCCCCAAAACCCGGCTCCTGTCCAATCCCGTCGGGCAGTCAGCTCCTTCTTTTCCTGCCCAGGCACGGGGACGCGTCTCCCCGCACGTCCAGCTAGAGCCCCCTGGACAACGCGCTGTTGTCTGGTCAGTGGGGGCGTGCTCACACCAAGGCACTCAAACACACTGCACACTCTCATAGACTTATACGGAAACATAGACACACTCCTACACAGACGAACACAGACGCACAGCCACACATTCTACCACACAGGCACACGCACTCAGACACGCGGGGACACAGACACACTCACACAGACGCAGATCCCCATACTGTCGCCTCTAGCCGTGTCTAGCCCCTTTCTATCCTGTTCATTTCTTTCGAGCCTCCCCAGACCCGGAGCTCCAACAGGGGGTCAGGACTGTCGCTTAGACTAGGGAGGAGGAGCCGGGGCTGGCCCTCCTTGGAGTCCCCAGAGACTGGGAGTGGGGGAGGCGAGGACACATCGAAAGTTGAAGGAATGGAATTAAGCATTTAGGGAAATGGGGGGGGCGGGGCGGGGCGGGGCGGGCGGCCGAGAAGCTACCCCTACTCTCCTATGTCCGCCACCTCCCACCCCCACCCCAGAACCTCCAGACTTGGCCTGATCCTCCCCCCAAGCTTCTCCAAGTGCCCACCCCTATCTGGAAGTCACTGTGCTTGGGGGGGGGAGTGGGCAGAGGGAAATGGAGTGGGGGCGTCCCCGCTCTGTACCTGCGGCTCCCTGGATCACGCGGGCAGGACAGGCGAAGAGCTATAGGCTGCTGGGGACCAGAGGCTCGGGGGTTCGCTCCGGGGTCCGCTCCGTGATCTGGCGCTGTCCGTTCTGCTTCCAGACTACACACTGCTGTCAGGCAGCTGAGATGAAGGGCGGCCGGCCCCGCCCCCGGTCCCGCTTGTCTCCGCCCCAGGGGGTGGGCCCAACGAGGGGGGCCAGGGTCCAGAGCGGGAGGTGCAGGGGCCCAAACTGGGCAATGGAGTAAGCTAGAGGCCCTTGTTAACTTGCTGGAACAGGAGCTGTCCCAAGCAACAGCGGCCTTCCCAGAAAGAACTCACAGTCTGATGTGACAGGGCCAGGGAGAGACATGACCCAGAATACCAAGGGATCTCCGAGCCCTGCCTTACCTAGGGAAAATAGGAGCCCCTGGAATGGGTCTTGGGAGACCTGAGTTACAGTCCAGGTTCAGCCTAACTCCAAGTGTGACCTTGGGAGACCACTTGTCCCTCTGTGGGACTCAATCTCCAACTCCGTAAAAATAAGGAAATTGGAATAGATGGGGTCCCTCAAATTCTCTTGCTGGAAAACCTTCCCGAAGAGGCCTAATTTTGTTGCTTCTCTCCGTTCTAGTTTTTCTTTGTCTTTCAGGGTCTCTTCTCCTTTCTCCTATATGGACACCCAGGGCTCTCTCCTCCCCTCTCCTCCCCTTTACTCCTCTCCCTTCCCCTCCCCTCTCTCTGTCTCTCTCAAAAAAAGTAAGAAATTTGGAAGAGGAGCAAGAGAAAACCATGCTCCCATCAAGCTAAATGTCTAAGATTGAAATTAGAACAGATAAAGGGTGAATCTTAGAGATCGCCCAATCCAACTCCATCATTTTGCAGAGAAGGAAACTGAGGCCCAAAGAAAAGCAGCATGAGCTAGGTTCCCCAGGTGAACAGCATACAGTAGAAAAACCGGATCAGAATCAAGGGTTCTTGCCAGTGTGCCACTTTGCCTTTCCAGTGGGCCTCACTTCATGAAGTAGGTCACCTCCTCACTCTGCCCTTGCCCTGGGCACATGATGCCCCTATCAGCACCTGCATCCCACCTTCAGCCCTGCTGTCTTAAGATATTTAGGACCCACTCAGAGACTTGTGGTGGGGAGTTATGGGGGAGGGTGGTACAGGGGGAAGAAGAGTCTGAAAGCAAATGCTCCACCACTGGTTAGATGAATGAACGAATGAATGAAAAAGGATTTAGTAAGCACTTACTATATATATCAAGCACTGAGTATATAAACAGAAAAGCGGACAGTCTTTGATCTCAAAGAGTTCACATTCCAATTGAGAGAGACAACACAAAAAGGGTTGGTTTGTAGGGCAAATGGAAAAATCTGGTGGTCTTTAGGGTGCAGCAGCAAGGTGGATTGTGACTTTGGACGGGTCATCTGGCTTCTTTGGATTGCCTCAGTTTCCCTCATCTGTAAAGAGGGAACAATATCTGTCCTGCCTCCTTCACAGAGCTGTGGTGAGGATCCAGTGAGAGAATGGGTGGGGCAGCTCTTTGAAGAGTGTAAAATGCTGTAATAGCCATAGGTCAGAGGCTGGGTGCATTTTGTTGTTTACAGTTGTGTTCAACTCTCTGTGACCCCATCTGGGGTTCTCTTGGCAAAAAATACTTGAGTGATTTGCTGTTTCCTTCTCCCATTCATTTTACAGATGAGGAAACTGAGGCAAACAGGGTGAAGTGACTTGTCCAGGCTCACGCGGCTGGTAAGGGCCTGAAGCCAGATTTGAACTCAGGAAGATGAGTCTTGCTGACTCTGGGCCGGCGCTCTATGCACTATGGCGCCACCTAGCTGCCCGGGGTGCATTTTGGGGACCATATCTGCCTTTCAGACTAGGGGCACCCTGAAGTTGGGCATGTTCAGTTTGCTCCCCTCTCTTCTCTAGTTTGATGACTGTAGCTCCCTCTTTCCCTGGGGTGTCTTAGCCTCAGTCCATCCATCTTGGAGGCCAGGAGATGGACTTTGATTGAATTAACCTTCTCCTGTTCTGTTTCCATCCCCTGGGGCTCTTCTGTCTCCATCACCATTCACTCTAGCCTGAGGCTCACCATCTGCTCCCCGTCAGCTGTGGAAGATTTAGGAGGCCAAGAGTCAGGAAGGACTCTTGGCTTCTCTTGCCAAATTCCTTCTTCCACTGGCTCACAGCATGACCTTAGCAAAGAAAGGCATTTCATGCCATCTTAGCTTCTAAAACTGAGATGCCTTAGTGAAAGTTAAGTGTAGCTCCTCCCCCATTTGACAGATGGGGAAACTGAGGCTCATAGAGATTAAGTGATTTGCCCAAGGTTACAAAACTAGTTATCAGCAGGGCCAGAGTTTGGTCCCAGTTCTTCCCACTCCAAATATAGTGTTCTTATCACTGTATCACACTGCCTCTTACCCTCTCTGGGCCTCAGACAGGGAAATATCTGTCAATTCCCATTCTCTTTTTGAAAAAATCTATTTAATTTTTTTCCAGTTACATGTAAAAATAATTTTTAACATTAGTTTTTTTCTTTTGAATTTTGAGTTCCACATTTTCTCCCTCCCTTCTTAACTCCCATGCTCTCAAGGTTTGATAGGCCACAATGTATAAAATGTTTAGAGATAGCTAGGAACCTGGGTCAAGAGTTAAAGGGGAAAGTGTGATATAAGGAGGGGTGGAGCCTGGATAATTCTAATCTGAAAGGTGGTTTTAATTTTTTTTCAATGAAGTCTCATTCTAAGCAACTGGTTTTTTTTTAACTCAACCTCCCCTCTTAGCTGGAAAAAGCCCATTGGAAACTGGGTACTTTCTCCCCTTCTATTTCCCAGAAAACAAAAACTCTCAACTTAGTCCTGAAATATGGATAAGATAACAAACATTTGAAGAAGCAGCTGGCATGTGAATTTGCAATCAGGAGACCTGGGTTCCAGGTCAGACTATAACACTTTCTGGTTGTATGACTGCTAGTTGGTAAATCATTTCACTTCTTTTTTCTTCATCTGTCAAATGGAAATAATCATACTTATACTACCTACCTCATAGGGAGGTGGTGAGCAAAGTGCTTTGGAAACATTAAAAGACCATAGAAATGGGAGTTATTAGTACACAGAAGAGGGCTTGTTCTACTTAACTGGAGAAGCATCAGTTAAGTGCTCTTATTGCATACCTACTGTGTGCTAAGCACTGGGGATAAAAAGACAAAGAGGAAACAGGGTTCTCCTCAAGGACCTTACATTCTAGGGGCAAACCACATGCTCACTTAAGGAAATATGAAATATGTAAAAGTAATTTTTAGGGAGCGGAGGTGACGTTGGCCTGAGCTAAGAGCCATAGGCAGGAAGTTCCAACAAGGCTGATTTCAGCTCAAGATAAGTGGGACAGTATTCTAACAATGAGAACTGTCTCCAAAGTGAAATGGGTTGCCTAGGAAGGAAGTGAGTTCCTCATCCCTGGAGGTCTGCAAGTGGAAGCCAGATGACCACTTGTGAAGGGTATTGTAATGGAGAATCCCATTTAGTTTCAAGTTGGCCCAGATGCTCTCTGAGGTCCCTTCCAGATCTGAGCTTCTAAAAGGTTTTAAGGGTCTGTGTGGGTGTTGGCTCTGGCTTAGATCCTATGCTTCCTCCTCCTCTGTGCTCCTGTAACCAAGGTACCTCGAGAACACTTTGCCCCTCCTCCCAGACAGAATATGATCCCAAACATCAGGAAATCCAAAGCTGATTTCTATTGGCTTAGGAAGGTGTTATTTGATTAGGACCTGTTGCCTTGGGGGAAAATGAGGGTTGAGATAGGGGAGATCTGATTTTGGTCTACCTCTGACTGATGATACCATATGTTTGATTTCCCTGAGTTGACCGGAAACTGTGCAACTTGGGAAAATCCCATCCGCTTTTTGGGCCCTGGTCTATAAAAATGAAAAGACGGGATATGATGGTCTTTAAGGCATTGAACTTATTTATGGGGGTGTCGGGTGGGGGGTGGAGCAGAGGCACGGACAGGACAGGGAAGTCCATGATGAAACCCTTCCTGCAGATGGAATAATTTCTGGCCCAATATTGCTATAGTAGAGAGCAGTAATGGGTGGGGGGGGGCAGAGCAGAGGCCGAGCTAAGGCCCAAGGCCCCGTGCAGAGGCAGCTGTTGTTGGCCTCTGCTGTGATGTTGTTGTTGAACCCTCTGGATGCAGGCCAAATCAAACCTCCCACAACGCACACCACACAGTGCCCTGGTCACCACCTGCAGAGCCTCCCAGTTTCAAATGCCAAAGGTCAGGTACCACAGTTGGGCTCCAGTTGACTGGCTGGGACCTGGTGAAAACGCCCTGTACCCTCCCCCAGCCTGAAGGGAGGGTTTCTGGGATGATAATGAGGGTGTGGCCACTGTGACTTTGACTGTATTGGAGTTGGGGGGGTGGGTAAGGGGAGCCTCTATCCATTGTTCTTCCCCCTGAGAATCGATTAAAAGCCTCAAGTCACTACCCTGGACTTAACATTAGGAAGACCTGGGTCAAATCTTGCCTTAGACACTAGCTGGGAGACCAAGAGCAAGTCACTTAACTTTTTGTGCCTCAGTTCCCTCAACAGCAAAATGGGGTAGAGGGTTAGACTCAGTGGCCTCTAAGGTGTTTTCCAGTTCCAAATCTATGATCCTACTTAGTACCTTGTGACCTTTGACCTGTTTGATCCTCTCTGGGCCTCAATTCCTCATTCATAAAATGCAGGGGCTGTATATGGTAGCCTTGGCAGCCCCTTCCAGCTCTACATTTATGGTTCTATGATGTGTGAACTACCTAGAGAACAGGCATCAGGAAAGAGCCAGGGATGGAAACAACAAGGATTTGGGTCTTTATCAGTTTGTACCCATCGCACTGGATGGAACTCTGTAGGTAAATAGTGTTCCTGAATTGCCACAGCCAACTTAGTGATATATCTCTCAGCAATCAGTTAGGCTAGCCTTCAGATGACAGACGTACATCATCTCTGATGGCATGGCCAAGGTGGAAAATCTTTCTGCCTGGGGAGGGCCCACTAAAACTTGTCTTAAAAAATGTTGGTTTCCACTTGTTTTGGAGAAAAGACATCCCAAAGATGTAGCATGGTGTGATCTTTAACTGAGGCATATGGCTGGAAGC